TGAAGTGAAGAAAATAGTATTGGCCAACCGTCGAATCACCGTTAGAGAAGTTGCTGAGGACCTAAACATATAGATTGGCTGGTGCCATTCGATTTTTACTAATGATTTGGGCATGAGACGGGTCGCCGCGAAATTCGTACCAACGCTCCTGCTCACACATCGTTGCTTGTGCGTGAATTTTTGGCCGAAAACAACACACTAATGATGCCGCAGCCACCGTATTCCCCAGACCTGGCCCCCTGTGACTTTTTCTTGTTCTAAAAACTGAAGAGGCACATGAAAGGGCGACGCTACACTACAATTAAGGAGATAAAGACGGCATCGAAGGAGGAGCTGAACAAGGTCACAAAAAATGATTTTTTGAAGTGCTTCGAGGATTGGAAAAAATGTTGGCACAATTGTATAATATCTGATGGGGATTACTTTAAATAAAACCAAATAGATATTCATGAATAAATAAATAATTTTTGAAAAAACACAAAATTCACGATACTTTTTGAACAGACCTCGTATATGGGTGTTCCAAAAATGTATATACTAAAAATAATTATAAAGTTTTTTAATGATTTAAATGAGTATAAATGATTATAAAGTTAGTGTTCATTAACATAGGTTATTTTTAAAATCTAAAAGAATCTTCAGAAATTAATAATTTGCTTTGCCTGTTTTCAAACTAATAAACCCGTTTTGGTTCAGGCACTGCAGATAACGCGAAGCAATGGAATCGCAAACATCAAGTATTATTTATTTCAAGCAATTCCATTGCTTCGCGTTATCTAGTGCCTGAATTAGAACGGTCATCAATTTGAAAACAGGCGTGGACAAAAAAAATTATTCAATTGTATAGATTCTTTTAAATTTGGAAATGAACTGTATGTTAACAAACGCTGATTTCATAATTATTTAAAGCATATATACATTTTTTTAGGACACTCTATATGTATGTGTAAATGAAACCTGATAAAACATAAGCGTATAAAATAAGTGAAGAATATATATATATAATGAAATGTGTGTGAGAACACATTGGTTCTACGAATGAAACGATATAATTCCCCGTTAAAAAAGTTCCTCTGACTAAACAACTGCTGTCTTTATATACTTAGCCATTATATAAATGCCTACTCATAGTTCGAATCGACTAGACGATTCTCATACATAAACCACTATAGATTCATATAAAGTTACTTAACTCTCACAACATGCAACAATCAATTCATAGTAATTTTAATAATCTTTTTGTTATATTTATAGATACAAATATACTCTATTGATTTAATCATTAAATTTACATCATGTAATGATTAAAATTTTTACTTCAAAGAACAATAGGAAACTTTCTATTTGGCATAATATTATATTTTTATAATATACAATTTTGCTTACCTTTCAAAAGCGGAACCAATCGACCCCAACATGTTATAGCACCCTTCCTATTAAACTGGCCAAGTGCGAGTTCCATATAAAACAAAGGAATACCACCGACTACTAACATCACACAATAAGGAACCAAAAATGCGCCTGTAAACAGAAACAAGAGCAATTTAATGGATTTAAAATGAATTAGGATACACATATCACACCGTCTTTCTAACGTCGAGATTGTTTATTATGATATATATTCCATTAACATAAAATTTTCAACGTAATAATTCTATTTGATTGTCGCCAATGATTTCAATCTTTTAAAGATAAATTGATCGAACAAGTTGTGATTATTCTTCCGTCTAATGGTCCAGTAATGCACTCAGAGGGAAGGGCAGAAAGTTCCAGTAAGAAATTCCTGAATCTTGAAACAAAAGTTCATTGTGTAATCAGTGCGAAATAAAAGGTTATTACACACTCTATTAAGTAATTAAAAAGTGGAAAAGATATAAAAGTGCGCCTTTCATATTACGAAAAGGAAGAGGTTATGGGGCAAATAAATGACAAACAAATTAGAATATGAACAAATGGTAAATAATAATAAGCGTGTACATAACTATTAATAATTTAAAATTTAAGAATTATTATATTCTCCTAAGATACATGCTGTACACTTTTCTGAATTTGAATTAATTCATATTGCCAATTCTATGTTCAAACATAATGATGTACAATTATATTATTTTTTAACATAATTTATATGCAAAATAACTAAGAACTGTATAATAATATTTAATTAATACTATTAATTAATAGTATTAATATTTTATTAATAGTATTACATAATAATTTATTATAACTTAATGTTTTCTTTAATTAAACAATAATCTCTAGGATTAATACTTTATAATTTTTGGACGACAATCACTATAGGAATAACCAGTACTGTAGAAATCACACGGATTAATTGTCATCAAAACTATATTTTATTTAACATAAATAAAAGAACATATTGTTCTCTACAATGTTCTCTAGTAGTTACTGGCATGGTGTTAGTTAAGTGTACGATACTAGCTCATGGCTGACGCATTTTATATGATACATATAAACATTTTTTTTTTAATTAGACGTGGTAAAAAAATATTTTCCTGTCTCTATTTCATTTCCTGTCTCCATCGTTTCGTTGGTTTTAGAATTACTGGTTTTCGCAATTTCTTTGTATTATAAGAAATATAAATTTAGTTAATTTTTTCTACATGTAATTAAACGTTTTGCAATATTTAAAAATATGACTTTTTTACTCAAAATAGTCGTTCGAGATGAGTTGATTTAAATGAGATAGATGTGATACAGTTTGCACGGAAGCATATGTATATATCATTGAATTTTATTAGAGCCAAGTTATTCAGGTAGNAGTTTGCACGGAAGCATATGTATATATCATTGAATTTTATTAGAGCCAAGTTATTCAGGTAGATTAAAATTATAGATGTAAAAGTTTTAGGAAGATTTTAATTGCTTTTTTCAGTTGTCATAGTTGAAAAGCGCAACCGAAAAACAAGTAAGATATATCTGTACTTTAACTGTGTGTAGTACAATTAATTTTAATAAAATATTTACAAAACGTTAAAAAACTATATATTTTGTTTCTTTTATATATGAAAGACATGTGACAACCAACTCTGAGTATGGGGTCAGTTATTCTACTTATATGATCTTACGTAGAGCTGAAATACTTTCTTGTGTATAAATATGTAAGGTCATCCTTTTTTTAATTTTAATGGACGTAGTATTTAAAATACACATAATATTATGAAATTTTGCATTTATCTATCTTTTAATAGATATGTAAAATGTGTAAAAATAAATTTAAGTTTCTCCTACATTTTTGCGTAACAAGTTATATTGTACATTTATTTGTCTCAGTTGTGTAATTAATTCCCATTTATTATAATATAATTCAAATAAGATGTGCTGAGAATAAATGTATATAAGACTTAAAATCTAGTCGATTATAATTGATGCTCGACTATATGTGAACGTTTGGCTTTCGATTTTAATCAATGCAATTGTACTGAAGAAGTTAAAAATATTTTGCCCCAGTCGTTGCCGAAAATACGTCATTCATACAAAAGTCGAATTTTAGTTATGTACTTCCTGAAAATTCTAATAGAAAATACTACTTTATACCGTTTGTTTATTTGACTTAATTTTTTGTTCTATAAAACTCATTTGCAAATATTACATAAAAGCATTAATTTACATTTCTTGTCGACCAGATCGACTCACTGGCATCAGCGTGTTAATTGCCAACTTGCCACTTGACTATTAAATTACGTGCCTAAAAGCACTTTGCTCCACGTGCCCTAAATAACGCACAATGTAGTTACGAAACTAACCAGCTAGTATGAGTGCGCCATGTATCACATTTTTCACGGGTTTTTTTCCGAGTATACATTCCGGTATACATGCGTGCGAGAACGAGTGAGTGTGTACGTGTATATTGCGTAGCGTGTGCATACGAGATCTGTTCAAAAAATATCGCGAATTTTGTGTATTTTCAAAAATTATTTATTTATTCATGAATA